GTGCGTATGATGAGGGTGATGGTGATGATGGATCTGAGGGTGACGGTGGGGATGACAATCTATGTGACGGTGAAGGTGATCAGGATCAGGAAGAGAGTTTTGATGGCGATGGGGAGGGGTACGTAATTGTCACTGCTAAGGGTGGCGATGGTATTGACAGCGATTGTGATGATGCGACTGCTGATGATTATGATGATGACGGTGATGATGATGATGATGATGACGATGCTGATGATGGTGATGATGGCGATGAACGTGATGGTGATTACGGTGATGATGAGGAGGATGCTGCTGACTATGATGGTCGTGATGATGGTGATGATGATGAGGGTGATGATGATGAGGATGAGGATGATACTGGTAATGGTGGTGCTGATGCTGTTGCGGATGATGATGTTGGTGACGATGGTGGTGATGATGAGGCTGATGCTGGTGCTGCTGATGATGATGCTGCTGATGATGATGCTGCTGATGACGATGATTCTTACGATGATGGTGACGATGAGGTTGTTGCTGATGGTAATGAAGATGCGGATGATGATGATGATGATGATGATGATGCGGATTCTATAGATAATGATGGTGACGATGCTGATGCTGATGGCGGTGATTAGTATGATGATGGTGCTGATTACGATTCTGATGATGACGATGACGCTGTGATGATAATGCTAATGATGATGATGACGATGATGACGATGATGATGCTGATACGGAGGATGACGATGCTGATGATGACGATGATGATGATGTTTATGATGATGATGATGATGCTGGTGATGATGATGATGATGATGATGATGATGATGTTATCACGGGTGACAGTGCCGCCGACGATGATGATGATGTTGTTGATGGTGATGACGATGCCGGCGGCGAGGATGCTGATCCTGATCATGCTGGTGATGGTGCTACTCATGCGGGTGTTGATGATGCTGGTGCTGATGGTGCTGATGGTTGCCATGACGATGATCATGATGATACGGAAGATGATGATGATGATGATGATGATGATGATGATGATGATGCTGATGATGATGATGGTGGTGATGATGGTGATGATGATGAAGATGAAGATGAAGATGATGATGATGCTGACGGTGATGACGACGCTGATGACGATGACGGTGATGATGATGATGATGATGATGACGGTGATGACGGTCATGATGGTGATTGTGGTGATGACGATGAATATGCTAACGACGACGATGGCGATGTTGTTGATGATGATTGCGATGATCATGATGATGATGCTGCTGATGATGATAATGACCAGGAGATTCTTCTTATGATGATGGTGATACTGATGCTGCTGATGATGATTCTGATGCTGATGCTGATGGTGATGGTGGTGATGGTAGTGTAGTTTATTAGGGGGATGAGGCTGCGAATGAGGATAAGGATGGCGATGCTGATGCTGCTACTGCGGATGATGGCAGTGGTGACGATGATGACGCTGCTGCTGATGATTACGATGATGATGATGATGATGATGATGATGATGATGATGATGATGATGATGATGATGATGATGATGATGATGATGGCCCAGCTGCTGATTGTTACGATGCTGATGGTGATGGCGGTGACAATGACCGTGATGATGCTGCTGACCATGGTGATGCTGCTGACCATGCTGTTGCTGATGCTGATGGTATCGAGGATGCTGAAATGTATGATCGTGCTGGCTGTTGCGATGATGCTGAGGCTGTCGACGGTGATGCTGATGATGCTGATGATGATGGTGATGCTGATGCTGATGATGCTGATGATGCTGATGATGCTGATGATGATGGCGAGGTAGATGATAATGGCGGCTTCTATGGTCACCATGCCGACGTGCTGCTGCTGCTGCTGCTGCTGATGATGATGCCAATGCTGAATGTGGTGAAAGGGGGAATATGCCGCCGACGACCATGATAATGCTGATGATGCGGTTGACGATGATGTCGGCGAGGATGTCGATCCTGGTCATGCGGGCGACGATGCTGCTGATGCGGGTGTCGATGTTGCTCCTGCGGATAGTGCTGATGATTACCATGATGATGATTCTGATGAGAATGACAATGGGAATTCTGATGATGATGCTGATGATGGTGATGACGATGACGATTGTGGGGATGATACGTGCTATGACGATGATGGTTACGGCATTGACGACGCGTGGTACTGATATTATAATGATAGCGATGATGGTGACGATGCTGACGGCGAGGGTGAATGTGATGATGATGATGATGAGGAGGAGGAGCAGGAGGAGGAGGGGGATGAGGAGGACGTTGCGGATGAGGAGGACGAGGGCGGGCATGAGGAGTGATGGATGAGGGATTGGGAGTGAGGGGTGAGGAATGACAGTGGGACGAGGAGGACGATGATGAGGAGGAGGGGGGGCGAGGGTGCGGATGACGAGGACGAGGAGGCGGACCAGACGCAGAATTGAATCCAGTGCCGCGCGCGCAGGCCAGCTTCAGCGACTCACGCATCTGCGGCTTGACAGGACCACTTGGAAACTGTGGATATCCAGCTAGGGCCAGTGGTGGGGATGGTGCTGCTTATGATGGTGATGCCGATGATGATGATGATGATGATGATGATGATGATGATGATGATGATGATGATGATGATGATGATGATGATGTTGCTGACGACGACGATGCTGATGAGATGATGATGGTGATGATGATGACGACGATTTTGACAATGTTGATGTTGATGGTGATGATGTCGATGACGATGTTGCTGCCCATGGTATTCACGAGGATGATGGCGCTCATGATGGTGATGATGCTGCGGCTGCTGATGATGGTGCCGATAACGACGATAATGACGATGCTGTTGTTGATGATGTTTGTGATGCTTCTGATGATGCTTCTGATGATGCTGATGGTTACGATGCTGATTATGATGGTGATTCTGCTGATTATGTTGATTCTGGTAAAGAGGATGTTGGCGATGATGAGGGTTCTGCTGATGGAGATGCAGATGAAGATGTCGCTGATGATGATGATGACGACTATGATACTGCTGCTGATGATGATAATGATGATGATGGTGGTGATGATGATGCTGATGCCGCTGCTGCTGCTGATGACGGTGATGCTGCTGCTGCTGATGATGGTGCTACTTCTCCAAATAGGCTTGCCCTAAAGGAGTTCTAAAATTGGTCCGTTGCCCCCCCCTAATTCCTATGCCCCCCCCCCTCCTCCCCCTAATTCCGATGGTTATGCTTATGCCCATGCCCCCCCCCCGAACTCCTATGCTTATTCTCAAAATGCGCTTGCCCTGTAGGAGTCCTAGCTCATCATAAGTAGTTGGTCTTTGGCACCCCCCCACCCCTTTTTCAAAGGATCTCCCTCCTTTTTCCAATGCCCCCCCCTTTTTCCAATAGCATTTGCTTGCTTGCTCTTGCGTGCTTGCTCTCGCTTGCTTGCTCTTGCTTGCCCTTGCTTGCTTGCACGTGATCGCTGGCTCTTGCTTGCTTGTTGTTGCTCGCTTGCGCTTGCTTGCTTCCGATTGCTTGCTCGCGCTTGCTTGATTTTGCTCCTCCCGTCCTCCTCCCGTCCCGCTTCCGTCCTCCTTTCGTCCTCCTCCCATCCTCCTCTCGTCCTCCTCCTGTCCTCCTATCTTTCAAGGGTCAACGCTGGCTGATATGATGCTAATGTTGGTGCTGCTGATGATGATGCTGACGATGATGCGGCTACTGATGATGACGATTCTGATGATGATGATGATGGTGATGATGACCATGACCATGATGCTGATAATGACGATGATGCGCATGATCATGATGCTGTTTGTGATGATGATGCTGATGGTGATGACGTTGATGTAGATGACGGCGACACTGATGATGCTGATGATGATGATGTTGATGCTGCTGGTGATGGTGCTGATGATGATCACGATGATTGTGATGATGATGATGATGCTGGTGATGACGGTGTTGATGAGGATGGTGAAGATGATGATGATGCTGATGATGATGATGATGTTGCTGCGGCTGATGCTGATGAGCTTGACGAGGTTTATGCGGTTGTTGATGATGATGAGGGGGAGGAGATGGAGGAGGAGACGGAGGAGGATGAGGAAGAGGAGAAGGAGAACGATGACGAGACGGAGAGGGATGATGACGATGCTGGTGCTGCTGATGATGATGATGATGATGGATGATGATGCTGATGCTGATGATGATGCTGCTGCTGATGATGCTGATGATACTGAGGATGATGGTGCTGCTGACGATGACGATGACGATGACGATGACGATGCTGATGACAATGACGATGACGATGACGATGATGATGCTGATGATGATGATGATACTGATGCTGAAGATGATGCTGATGCTGAGGCTGCTGAGGATGGTAACGACGATGCTGATGCTGACGATGTTGATAATGATGTGAATGATGCATATGATTGTGACAATGATGCTGATGCTGATGATGCTGCTGATGCTGATGATGATGATGATGATGATGATGATGATGATGATGATTTCGATGGTGATGATGATTCTGCTGATGATGATGATGATGATGCTGATGCTGCTGGTGATGATGCTGGTGATGATGATGAGGAGGAGGAGTAGAAGGAGGTGGAGGAGGAGGAGGCGGAGGCAACGTTCAGCAGAATATTCATGCCAAGAAGTAGCAGGTGCCAGGAGGAGGAGGAGGAGGAGGAGGAGGAGGTGGGGGTGGAAACGGAGGAGGAGGACGAGGAGGATGTGCCGCTGCTGCTGCTAATGATGATGATGATGCTGCTGCTGCTGATGATGATGATGATGATGTTAATGGTGATGATGATTATGATGATGATGGTGATGATAACGATGATGCTGATGATGATGCTGCTGCTGCTGACGATGATGACGACGATGACGGCGAGGATGCCGATCCCGGTCATGCTGATGACGATGCTGCTGATGCGGGTGTTGATGCTGCTGATGTTGATGGTGCTGATCACTACCATGAAGATGGCTATGATGAGAATGACAATGAGGTGTCTGATGGTGATGATGCAGATGATGATGACGATGACGATTATAGTGATGATGCGTATTATGACGATGATGGTTACGATAATGACGGCGCGTGGTAATGACATTATGATGATAGCGATGATGGTGACGATGCAGACGGCGATGGTGAAGGTGAAGATGATGATGATGATGATGTTAATGATGATGATGATGATGATGCTGATGCTGATGCTGATGCTGATGATGATGATGATGATGATGATGATGATGATGATGATGATGTTGCTGTTGATGATGATTGTGATGCTACTGATGATGATGATGACGACGACGATGATGCTGATGATGATGATGATGAAGAAGAAGATGCTGATTATGATGCTGATGCTGATGATGATGGTGATGCTACTGATGATGGTGATGATGCTGATGATGCTGCTGATGATGATGATGCTGATGTTGATGATGATGATGATGATGATGATGATGATGATGATGGTGGTGGTGGTGGTGGTGGTGGTGATGATGGTGGTGGTGGTGGTGATGATGATGATTATGATGGTGATGGTGATGGTGATGGTGATGATGATAATGATGATGATGATGATGATGATGATGATGATGATGTGGTGGTGGTGGTGGTGGTGGTGGTGATGATGTGATGGTGATGATGATGATGATGATGATGATGATGATGATGATGATGGATGATGATGAGGAGGAGGAGGAGGCAGGAGGAGGAGGAGGAGGAGGAGGAGGAGGTGGGCGAGGATGAGGAGGAGGAGGAGGAGGAGGAGGAGGGAGGGAGGAGGAGGAGGAGGAGGAGGAGGCGGAGGAACGAGGAGCCAGAGGACCAGGAGGAGGAGGAGGAGGAGGAGGAGGAGGAGGAGGAGGAGAGGGAGGAGGAGGAGGAGAGGAGGAGAGGGAGGAGGGAGGAGGAGGAGGAGGAGGGTGGTGGAGGAGGAAGGAGGAGGAGGAGGAGGAGCGAGGGGGAGGAGGAGTTTGCGATGGACGAGGATGAGGATGGGAGAGGGGGAGGGCGGGGTGGAGGATGAGGTAGGATAGAGAGGATGAGAGGGAGGGGGAGAGAGGCAGGAAGGGAGGGGAGGGGAGGAGGAGGAGGGAGGGTAAAAAGGCGAACCTAGGAATTGACGGGGCAAACCGAGAAGTTCCAAGAGCAACTGGAAATTCGGAGGGCAAGCCCGGAAACGCACCAAAGCCGGAAATGTGAACATGAAGACTGGGAAACAATACCCAAACCCGTATTTTTTCCGAGCCGGAGCCAGGAATTGCAAGCCAGTGCGGATTTGGGGTGGTGGGTTTTGGGGTTTTGCAAGCGAGTGCGGATGGAGGCTGGTAAGGGAAGTATGGGTTGATGGGGTAGTGTGGGTTGATCGGGGAGGGAGAGGGGGAGGAGGGAGGAGGCAGGAGGGAGGGGAGGGTGGGAGGGAGGGAGGGAGGGAGGGAGGGAGGGAGTCAGGAGGCAGAAGGTGGGAGGGGCGAGGAGGCGCGCGGGCGCGCGGGCGGACGCGTGCTTCGGCGGGCGGGCGGGCGCGCGAGCGGGAGCGCGCGCGGGCGAGCGGGTTGGCGGGCGGGCACGCGTGCGGGCGTGATCGTCGTCGTCGTCGTCGTCGTCGTCGTCGTCGCCGTCGTCGTCGTCGTCGTCGTCGTCGTCGTCGTCGTCGTCGTCGTCGTCGTCGCCGTCGTCGTCGACTCTGTCCGCGTCCGAGCTACACGTCGAGTAGATTTTGGCGTTCGCCTCCGCGGCGTTGCCACGTCGAGTGCAACCGAGCAGCTCCTCTTCGTTGTGCGGCCCTACCACGTGGCGCGTGCAGGTGTGTTGTATTCTGTTCGCCGGCCTGTCGTTGCCCCACTGCGAATGGAGTTGCGCTGTATTTGTTCCCGCCCCGCGGCGTCGCCGCATGGCGAATCTAATGGAACAGCTGTTTCAGCCCCCCCCCCCGGCGTTGCCACGTGACGGGTGGAGTGCGATTGTATATGTTCGACCCGCGCGGCACTGCCACGCGATGGGTAGAGCGGAGTTCTATCTACTTCCTGTTCGCCCCCCTACGTCGTTGCCACATAGCGAGTGGAGAGGGATAGTATTAATGTTTTCGTCTCGTGTCCTGCCGCGTGGCGTTGCTTTGTGGTGAGTAGAGTGGAGTAACGTTGCTCCCCTTCCCGCTTCGTTGTCACGTGCCTAGTAGAGCGGAGTGATTTTGTTTCGCATCGCAGGCGCTGCCAAGTGGTGAGCGCAGTGGAGTCGTATTTGATCCCCCTCCGAGCGTAGCCACGTGGCGAGAAGAGCGGAGCAGTATTTCTTTCGCCCCCCCGTCGATGCCACGTGGCGAGCAGAGTGAAATAGTATTTGTTCCGCCCCGCAGGCGTTGTCACGTGGCGAGTCGTGGAGTGGAGTAGTTTTTTATTTCACTCCTCAGGGCGACTGACGTGGAATAGTTGTCCTGTCGGCGCCCCAGGCGTTGCCGCGTAGAGGGACGAGGGAGAAGGGAGAAGGA